TGTGAATAATCTGCAACAATGCATAAGATTCTAATAAGATTACTGACATTTAGAAATGGGAAGAAAGAGCTAAAGGTGAAGGGAAGGTGGGATGGGTAGGGGAAGGGTAAAAAGGGAAAAGAAAAAAATGTGAGAGAATGAAAAGAAGAAAATAAAGTGTTTGTAGATGGGGAGGGGAGGAGGGGGTGAAGGGAGGGCAGAGGTAAGGGGAAAAAAATGAGAATCAAGACTTGCCATGTAGAGGTACATGATCCCAACAATGAATGTAACTGTACTGTATCCCTAAAATGTACCAATAAACTCAATAAAATTAATTAAAAAAAATACAACAAAAATACTTTTAAAGAAAAAAAAGCTGAGGTGAAGATAAAGAAATACTCAGAAGTGCTCTTAGGAATTAGGAAGCACAGGACTTGATAAGTAAGTGGATAAGTAGCTGGGAAGAGAAGAGCCAACAGTGACAAAGAAATTAAGGGTGTGTCATGCCTTGACACAAGAACACAGGGAATAAAGAGTCTTCAGAGTCCCAGTAATGAACTCGGCTTGGGTCATGTCATGTGTGGAGTTCCAGCCAGGCCACTGCACAGTTACCAGTGAATCCCAGGAGGTGCCAATCCCATAGACTATGATGACAGACAGCAGCACTGACCACACTGTATGAATGTAAATGGCAGCCCTGGTTGGAGTTGAGGAGAGAGACTCGTTGGAGATGAAGCATTGAGGGTCGTCGACACGTAGACGATATCTGAAGCTCAAGAATAGATGAGCCCTCCCACTCCCAAAGAAGGTTGTATAGAATAAAGGGACAGGAACACCAAGAAATCATGACATTTACTTAAAAAACAAAATAAGAGAATACATGCACACACACACACACACACACACACACACACACACACACGTGCGCATGCGTGTGGATAAGGAACCAATAAGAGCTGAAGGGTACCCAGAAGAGAGTAGTCATCACCAAGGAGAGGGAAAGAGGAACTTGTAATTTAGGTAATTGCCACCAGATGGAGTGTGGTCTCTGAGAGTCAGAATTAGCTCAAACTCCAAATGTATGGAGCTGATAAACAGATTATCATATATCTAGGCTGCTTCATAACTGAAAGAATATGAATTTGCACAAAGTGCTCCACAGATATTCAAGAAACCAGACTTCCATGTATAATGTGCAGAGCAAGATAATTGATAGAAAATAAAGGAAACTGGGTTCTAGCATTACCTTTGCTACTCTGTAGCAAGAAAATCTAGGGTAAATCTATCTCCCTTCCTCATATCTCCTATATATTCAATACAAGGGGGTTGGATTGGCTTTTTCAATTTACTCCAACTGTAATGTGATAAAAGGAAATAACAGTATCAAACACATACACAGCAAATATCTGGACTTGCCACTATGTTACATGCTGGGGAAACAAAAAGGAATTAACCGAAGTGGCCCGGCACTCTAGCCGTCTGACATACTTGTGAACTAAGAGCCCCAGCAACGTGAAAGATTCTGTAGTGAGTGCACACACTACAGTGGGAGCAAATGAGATCCTAACTGCTCAGCAGTTTTCACAATGGAGGTGACCCCTGAATGGCCTCTACATCTTGAGTAGGAGTCTTCAAGAGATCGTGGGGGAAAGACTTCTACAGGCTGTGCAAGTGGCTGACAGTGTAGGATAGAAAACACAGGTTTTATCACGGCTGTACTTCATGGAGAGTCAGATACATTTGGAAAAGTAGGCATGAGTTCACTGCATATCTTAAATGTAGTGCATGTTTAAACTTTATTTAGTTAACAAATAATTTCAGAGAGATTGCTATATGTGCCTGGCATTGTCCTGTGTGTATAACGAAGATAAGCTTCTTTAACCCTCCCCAAAATCCTATGCAGTAAGCGCTACCACAGCCCCCTTCACAGTGAGGAGGCTCCCACAGAGGTTAAGTAACTGCTATTGTATGGTCCCACGCCTATCAAGTGACCCTGGGTCTAAGGTTCCATAAGAGGCTCTCTGGATCCCAGACTCCTGCTCTCAACCATGCCTTATGCTGCAGGAAGGCTGAGCCAGTTAGATTTCAAAGCATCTGATTTGCATTTTGGAAAATGCCCCTGGCAGAGGTACAAAGGCTGGTTTAGAGAAGAGTGACACTGGAGGAAGGGGTGCTGAGGAAGAGTTTCAGGTAAGATGGCCCTGTGCTCCGGTAACAGCAGGGGGAGCCTTGAAAAGGGAGCACTTTACGGGTGGTTAGCAAGTACAGTACTCCTTCCCGTCCCAGTGACCACTGAATGTGAAAGTGAGAGAACAAGAGAAATCTCAGGTTTCTGGTATAGAGAACTAGAGAAATGATAGTGGCTTTAACCAAAATTGAGAATAAAAGAATTCCTGAGTTAGAAATATAGCAGGCCATGGGAAAAGTAGAGTTTGAATATCAGTATGAGAATTATTATAGCAGAGGGCAGTTGAAGCAAGAGAGATAAGCACTGTTACTGGGAGAGTGTGGGTATGTAAAGAACAGAGTTTAAAATCAGAACCTTAATACTAAACAAGAAGAAAAACTGAAGATGAGAATCTAAGGCAGGAGGAAGGCCAGATACAATGGTATCATTTTTAAATTATTTAATATTTTCCTTTGTTTCCAGGAGGTTTGAGTTTTGTGTTAGAAGACAGATGTAAAGTGTGACGTTGTGTATCTGTAACTAGCCTTATATTATTTGTGGACTGGTATCATGTCCAATTCATTTGTATATTGCCATGCTAAATAAAACAGAACTTTGGTAAATAAAACCTTCTCTCTTTTTGCCTCTCATTGAGTTTATTGGTACATTATAGGTATACAGTACAGTTACATTCATCATTGAGATCTGGTACCGTTAACATGACAGGTCTTGATTCTCATTTTTTCCCCTTGTCCCTGCCCTCCCTTCAGCCCCTCCTCCCCTCCCCACTAAAACCTTCTTAATGTATGGACTGAGTAACATTTATTTTCCTCGACTCTTTTGGGTACACGTCACCTTGGCAAGTGGTCTCATTCAGATAACTTCATTTTCCAAAACAGAAAACAACAGTATCTTGATTTGGTATGTCACAATACTTATTGCTTGTTTTGTTTGTTTGTTTGTTTTATGGTACTGGGGGTTGAACCCAAGGCCTTCAAACAGATATATGTATTTGTTTGTTTGCTTGTTTTTGTTTTTTGAGACAAAGTCTTGCTAGGTTGCAAAATTGCCCGGGCAGGCTGGGCTCGAATTTGTTATCCTCTTGCCTCAGCCTCCCAGAGTGCTGAGATTATAGGAGTGCACCCCCCTACTAGTAAAAATACTTATTCTTAAGTGTTTTCTAATGAACACATCAGCCATATGTCTAAATTCTAGATCACCTCCTAAAAAAATAATACTCCAGCATGCTACCACCTTTCATTATGCAAAATCCAGGCAGTAAGGATTACAAAAACCATGGGCACAGGAGTCAGGCAACTGTAATTTCAATCTACAGGTCCAGCAGGCCTGGTCCCCTGACTTCCAGCAGGTCAATTAACCTTGTAAGCATCAGTGTTTCGCATCTGTAAAATGATAATTATATTATGAAGAGCACTGGGCAGCCAGGAGGATGCGATCGTTGGGCTGGATGCTGCTGTAACGTACATGGTTAATAAATATCAGATCCCTTCTCCTCTCTGACAGTATTGCAACAGATTCACTTTTGCTGAAAGACCTGGAATTTGCAAGAAGGGCTCCTCCTGGGAGGTCAGAGCCTTTCTCTGAGCCTTTGGACCTGCAGTGTGGTCAAAGGTCACCGGGTGGTCTGGGTGCCTGCTAGGGGACCCCAGATCAGGAGGGCTTCCCGTCAGAGGAGACAGCCAACTCCTCAGGGCTAACACCAAATTCTATCCCCAGCATGTTTCTTTCGGAGGGATTAAAACCTTGCTGTAATGACCATGTCTGCAGATTAAACACAAACCACCCCAACATGTGGATATTAACAATAGGAGAATATATCATTTAAAATGAGACTTAATGGAAAAGAACTACTTAGGTACACATCACATAACTTCCTGATTTCCCTTAAACTGTTTTTAATTATTTCTTAACTTAATCTAACCTTCGTTTTAATTTCCTCACATTAATTGCAATTCATTCTGATGGCAGAATGCTAATAGCCTCTGGACTGTGCTGAACCTCAGAGTTTGGCAAAGCACTCTGTGGAAAAAGCTCTCTGTCCCTTTCACCTGCCTGGGGAGCAAATCTGCTCATTAGCAGGCTTAGGGAGCCTTTTCAGCCAACAAGGAAAATCACAATGAAATCTGGGCCTTCACGTGCCTTCTCTGAGTTTGGCCGCTTTGTGCTTCCTCTCTTCACCCACTTGGAAAGAGAAAGCACTCGCTGGGCTCTCTGGGCCCCATGACTTTGACTTATAATCAAAACCCGGTTCCCCAAGTAATCTGCCGGAGTGCCCTGGTTCTCTGCGCTTGCCACAAGAGCCACTTTACCAACCACGGCTCTGCTTTCCACCCTCTCCCCACACCCCACAGTCCACCTCTGTCCAGCCCCAGTGCTGGCAGAGGAACCTAGGGCCTGAAGCAAGTTGGGCAAATGCTCTGCCCCTGGCCACAGCCCAGCCCCCTCCTGACCCTTGAATGCCGACATAGGTCAGATCTGGTCTCAGTTGTGCTGTGCAGTTGGCTGTACTCTGTGCCCATGCAAGCGCTCTGCTGATATCTGCCGTGTTCTTTCTTCTTTTCAAACTTTTAAACAATTCCAAATGCTACAATTATAGAACGTCTGAAAAATATTGAAAAGTGTCACTGGTTTTTATGGCCGTGAAACTACTCTGTATATTACAAAGGTGAATACTTATCCTCCTGCATTTGTCTGAACAGAATGTACAAACCTGAGCGCGAACCTGAGCTTCATGGATTGCAGAGTGGGGGCTCTGCGGGTGTGGGAGAGGGTACACGGCAGCCCTCTCTACCATCCCCTCCATTTAGCTGGGAACCTAAAGGTGGTCTGAAAAATAAGGTCGGTACGTCAGGGGGTGCCATCATCCCCTCAGTTTCTACACTGTGACGTAGGTCCTTACGGCATCTGTGAAACAAAATGGGAGGTGCCCTCCTGCAGTGCTTATCAGCTCCCACTTGGTGCCTGTCCTTGGGCTGCAGACACAGGAGCAAACCACACGCACGGGGCCCTGGCCTCAGGAATCCTGCAATTGAAATGAAAAGATTGCGGGAACTTACCCAATAATCACTTAATTTTGCTTTGATGCACACAGAGAAGATGCTCCGAGTCACTCTCAGGTCGAAGCAGCAGCTGGGCCCTCATTTGCTTCCCTCCTCCAACAGCCGCGCTGAGCGGTGAGTGCAATCCGTGTCAGTCCTTCACCCTCCCTCACTCACGCCCAGCCATGTAAAACCAGGACCGTAAGTCCAGATAGCGGAGTGCCAGCATAGTGAGCGTCTCTAAGCTGACACAGGTGCTGGCCTCCACTGGACCCCTTTAAAGGAGCACTGCTGTTGCTCCAAATGCTTCCGGAAGACGAGACGGTCCCACCACACTCTGAAGCCCCGTGCTTGTGATCTACTGACTCTCAAGGCAGCGATGGCAAACCAGGAAGAAGGCCATCAAAGCCTGTGCTCCTCTGGTTCTTCTCTTTATGGTCTGTCTTCTCTGTCCTCTTCATTTCCTCTAAACTGTCTTTTTGCTTGATGTGCAACAGAGAACATTGGACACAGAGATAAATCACATAATAAGAAATTGTGCCTTGAGAGCATTTGTATCAGATTTACTCAGTAATCCTCCTCCTTTGAAAAGAAAGTACAAGGTATTATATATCCTCGGTCATCCTTAGAGGGATGATAGGACTTTTTAAGACAGTGATCTGCCGCCTTCCAATAAAACAGAGGTCTCTATAAGCTTTGACCAAGTCATTCTATTTCTGGAGCATTTCTTCTAGGCAACCGAGAGGGTAAAGACACATCCAGAAGAATGTCAACCAGAGAACTATTTAATACTACACAAAGAAACAGCTAACTCAAATGTCCCTCAGAGAGTGACTGAGTAAAGTATGGCTCATCTGTACCATGTCTTGTCATGCACTTGCAAAAGACCATGAAGTAGAACTATATAAACGGAATGGAAAGAGGTCCATGGTACAGAAAGCAAAATGACTAAGTTGCAGGTCAGTTTATCTACAATGACTTCATCATTTTAAAATAAGATGTGTGTGTATTTATATGTATATATATATATATATATATATAGAGAGAGAGAGAGAGAGAGAGAGAGAGAATATATTACAGAATATATATAGAATATATATACCTGTATATTCATACATGCATTCTTTAAGATCTAGAAGTCTATGCAAATAGTTCGCTGGAGGTTGCCCCGAGGGAGTGGAATTTAGGAGCAAGGGATCTTCATTCTCTACATGAAATTCTTTCACTTAGTTTGGCTCATTAAGCAGAAAGAAAAAAAAATTAACACTTTTGAAACGTGAGCTGCTACAGAACAGGAGGGCAACTGTGGACTCATCTGGATGCTTCCAGCTAGGGCGGCATCGGTACTTTCTTTGTGATGGGTCGCACTTGGATTTGAAGCAGCCCCTTTCTCTTCCAGACCCCCTTTTCCTCCCCGTCCTTGGCCTTCTGCACAAAACCTGGCAGTAACAGAGAAGGATAGAAAGGGGGTGCAAGAGGAACTTAGAAGCTAACCCAAATAAGAAGCAGCCACCAAATTTTTGTGGAGAAATTAAGAACATGTTGAAGTGTAGATTTAAAAAAAGAAAAGAATTCAAAGATGTGTACACAGTATGATCATACTTAGAAAAAGAAACAAACATCCTCCCCTGACCTCCAAAAAGGTGAAAAGCAAACCAAAACATTGAGAATGATAATAGATACTGGATGGTGAGACTTCAGAAGATTTTTCCATTCTACATTTAAAAACATGGGCTGATTGCTTTTATCATTTAAAAAACTCACTTCTGTTTAAGAACTACCTATCATTACCCAACATTTTACCACCCCAAAATACCACTGTGGGTACTGGGATCATAGCATAAAGCCTCGCTGTATCTGGACCGAATTTTTAAAGTCTGGATGTCTCAATTCTGAGAAGTCCATTGAGCCTTGAGCCTCTCCTCCCTGCAGTAGCACAACCTGAATATTCCATTATTTTCATAAAGAGAGCAGTTTAGGGAAATAAATTCTACTAGGCTGTTTGGTGTGACTCTGGGAGATAGTATACAATCTTATTTAATGTATTTAGAACCTTGGGGTGAGAATCTAGGCCATAACATACATATCAAATCTTTATTACTTAGAATTTATTCATAAGGTGGAAGCTGGAAACCATAGGAGTTAAACAAAATCAACCTCAGCTCCTTGAACCCCTTGCACTGAATTTACTGATTTTTTTTAGCCACCCTCTATTTTGGGGTGAGAATTTATGTTGGACTATTTTTCTTAGTTTAGTTTCTTTGCTATCGATCCCTACCTGTATAAGCTCCCTCTATAATTTCTTAACTTTAAAAAAAAAGAACAAGACCTGGAAAGAAGTCTCACAATAAAGTCTCACGTTCCATGTAAAGCAGAAAGTGTGCAGTAACAAGGCAGCCAAGGAGGAGCGGGACTGTTTTGCTCCCTTTGACCATTGACCAAGAGTAAGCCTAGAAAGACACCACTTTCTGCCTGGAAGCTGATTTCTCTGAAACTGACACAGACTCAAAAGAAGAGACACTGGGTGTTTTCCAACTTTGAGATCTACGCAGAAAACCAACAGCTGAACCTAGATTCTTCTTCAAGGCTTATCAAAAACAGGACTTTCATTCCTTGGTTAGACCTTTATTACCTAGCTACTGCATTTCACAAACAATCCTCTCTACCTCCAGAATAGAGCTCAACAGCTATGGGTATGTGTCCTGGTTGCTGTTTGTTTGTTTGTTTGTTTACTTTTTAATCTCAAATAAGATTGAGGTTTTTGAGATTGAGATATAGCCCTTTCTATCCAACTTTCTCCTCCTGTTAACAATTCCAAAGTAGTAGTTTTATGGGTATTTTTAAATTTTTTAAAATTTATGTATTTGACTTCTAGTAACCTAAAAGGAGGAGAGAACTGCACCAAGTGCTATATTTTTTCGTTTGATGTCCACAGTAGTTCAGTAACTTTATAGATAAGGACAATGAAGTTCAAAAATATGTGTCATCTTAATAAGATTACTGACATTTAGAAATGGGTAGAAAGGAGCTAAAGGTGTAGGGAAGGTGGGATGGGTAGGGGAAGGGTAATAAGGGAAAAGAAAAAAATGTGAGATAATGAAAAGATGGAAATAAAGTGTTTGTAGATGGGGAGGGGAGGAGGGGGTGAAGGGAGGGCAGGGGTAAGGGGAAAAAATGAGAATCAAGACTTGTCATGTGGAGGTACAAGATCCCAACAATGAATGTAACTGTACTGTATCCCTAAAGTGTACCAATAAACTCAATTAAAGCTGGAAAAAAAAATTTAAAAAAATATGTGTCATCTGTATAAGGAGGAGCCACAATGTTATTAAATTATAGAGTCAAGTTTCAAGTCTATTTCTATGCAAGTCTATTTTCAGTTTTACATGTTGTTTCTAATAATTTAACATATGAAAGCTAGTATTTATTTGCCACACCAGATATTTATTGGTTACCTATACCTGATATTTTAAAGATACAAATTCTCTTCATTCTTAACCAAAATCTAGGCTAATGGGAATAGTTATCCCTATTTTTATGAAAACAAATAGGGATCGGAGAGATTAAATATTTGCCTTACATCATGTAGTTTTCATGAAACAGAGCCAGTTCCACCAAAGTCTGTTCCCCTCCAGGGAAGCTGGTTTGTAGGGGATCAGATCATTCCATATGAATTCACTTGTGAGAACTTGGGGAGGAAGTGGACACCATTATTCCCATTTTATAGGTGACAGTCTATTAAGTATTTAAGAAAAAGGAAACCCAGCCCGAGACAGTCAGACCTCAGCTCTTCTAAAGATTATTTCCTTGGAAACACCTTTTAGAAATCTAGCAAAATCAAAGAAGAGATTTCCTCAGGTATACAAGGTGCAAAATGTGACTGTTTTAAAAAGAGAAAAAAAAAGATCTTTCTGCTAAACTAAGCCTGATTACTGGAATCTAGCTTAGATAATGCACCTTCACAAATACATCATACAAATTATGAGCTATGAACTACAGTGAATACTCAAATTTTTAAAATTTATTATAGCAAAGGCACATTGCCATTAATCGGCCTCAAAATACTTTCTCTCTTTTCAAACACACTTATCCCATCACTCTCTGAAGCAATTTGGAGTTTACTTTGATGGCAATTTCTGTCAAATAAAAATATTGTGGTGTGTCCTCACCGACCTTGTTATGGCTCTGTGTGACTTCTGACTCCCCACAAAGTCAAAATGATCACGAAAGATAAATGCTTTAAGTTGACTCAGAACGTTGAGGCAGCCGTGACCGTGCAACTAAAGACACTCGTGAAAGAGGACTGCCGGACCTGCTTAAGAAAGGTGCAAGAATGGTAGGATGAGTATATGTGACGTGGAGATAATGTTTTGATGGGGATTAATGACAATGTGTCTTTTACTGCAATGAATTTTGTAAAACCATTAAGCATGTATTTTGATCACCCCACTATTAATGCTTACAGGCAGATCCATGAGCGTGTTATCTCATTCCTCATAAGTCTTGCTCCAGTGAAACCTTGCAATCAGAGGAAAAGGAGGAGGACTATAAATTGTATAAATAAGGAAATGGTGCAATGCCTTGCGTGGGTGGTGGGAAGGCATTTAGTATCCAGGCCTTTCTGCATTTTAGGATGTACTTATTCATCCTAAATGTTCTGGGTCAGAGGAGAGCTACACCAGTGGAAAGAATGGGACATTCTTTATAGGTGAGGGCAGAGCCAGTGACCTTCCACCGGAAGAGCGTGACCTCAGAACTGCTGGTGCGGTAGTAGTGAT